CTTTTCTTGTGTATATTTCAGACTTCTTCGTCTCGTTCTTGACTACCAAATTGCAGACTACGTGTCTCTCAAGAATAATGTTCTTTTATCTTACAAGAACTTGAGTCTCTCTAACAAATGTGGGCTCATTAGGGGCATTCCCTTCCCTTGTCTTAGACGAATTTTTATGTTTCAAAATATATTAACAATGGTTGTACCTCAAATTTGTATTTGAGAAATATTATATATTTAACAATTAAATGACCCATTTTTTTTAGTTTTGTGATTAATTCATAAAATCATTCAATTACAAAATTCCACTATCTAATATAATTTTTTAAAAATTATTGCAGATTTTAATTTATTATTATCATCAATATCTATGTAAATGTATTGTATATAATTGTAGTTTTATTTGTGAAAAATAATATCAATTAACTACGCCTGATATTGGGAAGCGGGTCAAACTCGCTTCATCCGACCTGCTCTGCAGCGGGTTGAATCATTTTTACGACTCAAAAATTTGAACCGTGTGACCTGCAAAGAAAATATATTTTTGTAAGAAAAAATTTATAAAATTTGAAAGAGAATCAACCCATTCATGAAACCCATTATTATATATTTTTAGGTCCAAATAAAAATGAAAGATTGCCATTAATGATAAATTAAATTTGTATATAAGAATAAATGTATAATTAGAAAACATAAAAAATCATTAAACAGAATATTTCTGTTTTAATGGTATTGATGCCATCATGGATTAAATTCATTGAGGTTGATAAAGTTGATGTGTAAAACTCTTTGGATTAAATGCTAAAAGGAAAAAAAATAGATTATGAAAATATTTAGCAAATATTTATTCACTAGAGTTTTGAACTTGACTGCACACAATCTGTTGAACCAATTTATTTCTGTAAACTAACTAATTTTTCTTAGCTATTTTGCAGCATGTTTCTTCTTCCCTATCATTTTTTCATCCTTATAGCTTGAATACTACTCCAATGCGTACGCTTTTCAACTGCAGTTCTCTCTTAAACCTTAGTTCAATGTGCATGTGCACTTTGGTATGTATCATCATCGGAAACTTAGCCATTAGGTTTCCGGCATCATTTTCGTCGTGGATTTCCTCGTCTGGAGCTTCTATCTCAGTACGCAGCCTCTGTTAATTGATACTGTAAGATAAAATTCAAGAGTTTCCAACGTAAAATTGTCTATATACCCGTTTTGTTTCAAACCGGATCAGAATCGGAGCCCCGGTGGAGCCTTGTTGATGTGTTAACTGTCGCTGCTTGCTTCAGTCTAAGCAAGGAGATCGAGTGATCTCTTAAGAATCCTAAACCGAGTTTCCTCTTCAGTCTATGCTTTAGAAGCATTAGCTTCCGGTCATATTTACGTTAAATAAATTATCGGCCCTCTTTCAAAAAATGTTTTTACAGCTTAGTTGGTTAAAATCTTCATTTCTTCTCCAAGCGATCAGGGTTTAATCTATCCTCAAAGCTATTTTTATTATTCTTTTAATTATAGTGGCCGATTTTTTTTTTTTTTTTGCTTGTGGCCTATAGAACTTGTGGGCCGGGCATGTTCCTCTCCATCGAGGTTTATGGTCACAGTCCAGATCCAACAATTTTTTTTAAACCCTAAAGGTAAAACCCACGTTTTAAGCCAATGCCTTAAGTAGGGGTACTTTAGTAATTTGGATGATCAAAATCCTAAGCTCCTATACCTATAGCAATGTAGAAAAATTTGACGGCGAAGCTCTGCCAAATTTACCGAAAACGCAGTTGTCAACTGCCTTATGTCTTTAAGTGAAAACAATGCCTAGTTGATGTTTTTGTGAGAAAGTCACGACCAGATACAAAGAAGATAGGCAAAGAACCTAAGTTGGATTGATAGATCTTGTTAGGAATACTCAGAAACTTTCGCATCTCAATTATGAGGTATACTCAGTTCGTTACACGATCTAAAAGTTGAGAGAAAATCAACATGTTTCTCAAATCTGTGCATATTGTTTTTCCAGTCCAGAAAGCTATATTGAGAGGAGATTTCCCTTTGATACAGAAAGATCTAGGTGCCAAGGTTGTTACTGTTAGAAAGCTGACGTTCCCAGCTTTCTATATCCACCAAGAACACTCAAATACGAGGTAAACTCCGGAAGTTATCCGATCTTCAATTTGAGGAAAAAATACAGTTTTCTGAATCCAAAGATCTCTGAAACCTTTTTTTCCAGATTCACATAGGAGTTTTGTGAGATAGTTTCCAGAGAGAGTTAGAACATGGATAAGGTGTCTCTGGAAAGATCTTGTTGCAAGGAATCTATACCAATTGACGGTTTCCTTTTTAGTGGTAAGATCAAATAACTATGCGTGTTATTTCATGGCCAAAAATCATCATGTTTCGTCAAAAACCAGAAACCCCAATTCCCTTTTCGAATGCAGATGTAGTTTCATATCACCAAAACATCATTTTAACCGCTTCGACCGCTATTTCAGAATCTATTTTCAACCTGAAGGCAAAGGTGAGGGGTGTTATCTGTTGATTTTTGATATTGTTAGTCAAGTTGTATTCTTAAAAGCTAGGTCTAGGAGTTTGTTTGTGTTTGATTGTGATTGATGTGTGATGATTATTCGTGATGATAATGTTGATGATTAGTTGGTAATTGTAAAAGGGGGATAAGTGATGAAATTGTTAAGTATATTTAAAATATGTGAAGTCAGACTGAGAATGAGGATATAGTGATCCTGTCAAAGCCCGTATATGGGCTGACGAGGCCAAGGTGACATTACTATTAATATTGGAAATGATTATGAGATGAGAAATGTTAATGTGATTAATGAATATGAATTGATATGAATGATTCATTATGCATGTTAATTGTTTAATATGTTGGGTGATGCATGTTTAAGACTAGTATTTTTCACAAGCAAGTTGGTTAATAGTATTATGCTTGTTAATTGCTTCAGATTTTGCTTGGTTCTTTTGTTGTTTCTTTGCTTCTTGTAAGAGTCACTTTCCTTCTTTGTTTCTTTGCTTTTTGTCTTACATTGTTTCTTTACTTTGTAGGAAGTAGAGAAGATACTTCCAAGTTCCAAGTGCACCACATTAGCATCTTTAGAACTGCCAGTTCCAAGCCTCCTCTGTGCCTTTGCATCAACTAATACGTTTTGCTTATCTGTCTAACTATTTCTTTAATAACATCCCTTTTCTTTCTCTCTTTTAGACATATGTGAACATCAGATGCTTGTTTCTTTGCATATTTTTAATACTTTGATGTCTATCTGTTTATGCTTGATTATTTTATCCATTTTCATAAAATAATAGGAGTAGTACTTGATTATTAACAAAAAATATCAACGAGCAACTACCATTTTGGAAAGTATATGTTGTCTTCTTCTCTATGCCTCATTGCCTCTTATAGTTTTATGTAAGAATAAGAGTCTTATCTACATTTATCAGTTCATAAAGTTAAGAAAATGTTTATCAAAGACGTACACAAAAGTTTAATATTTACACAAAGCAGGCAAGAATACATATCAAAAGTTGTTGAGAAATCATTTATTTAGAGTTCATAAAGTTAAAAAAATGAAAAAAAAATATAAGAATATAATGTAAATGGGTCTAAATGGGTTAAATGGATACATGTATATTTCATGGGTTTTAAATGGGTATCTCTAATAGGGTTATTTTTAAATGGGTCTAAACGGAAATGAGTTCTAAATGGTATGGGTCTTAAATGGGATGGGTTTAATTGGGCTGGATTTTACCATATTAACATCCCTAGTTAATACTCCATCTATTTCAAAATATTTCATGTTTTAATATTTTTATACATATTAAGAAAATTTATTAAGTTTAAATTACCAATACACTATATTTTTGTAATTAACTATTTCCTATAACTTTTAACTTATAATTTTTTAAAAAATATACTTATATTTTTGGAAATAAATAATTTAGTATTAATAAGTGCACTGAAAATGTAAACAAAAAATATCTTTTTTGAAATCAATTTTTTTTCTAGAACATGAATCTATTTGAAACAGAGTGAGTAGTTGTTAGGAGTCATGCTGGCCGACATGACCATTCTCACTGAATGACTGTGTATTTCACCACCTTTTCTTTTTTTCCTTTTTAGTGTATACAGGTGTTTCTTGTGGTTCAAGTTATGACACAAGACTAGGAGAGGGGGACGAACATTACATTTATTCCCTAATTGCGTCGTGTGGACTCGCTATGAGTGATAAGCTGATTGGTCGGTTCGAGGTTTCGTTGGATTTGAAGGCGGCAGAGACAAGGATGTGTTGGGCCAACCACAGATGGGCTGAATTGGGCTTTATAATAAGTCCAAGAGGGTGAGAAGTCCGGATCGGATCCGGAGCTCCACGTTAGTATAGGAATTGGACCCGACCCGAGATTTTTCTTTCGGTTCGATGGTGAGCTGAGTGTAATCCTCAGGTTTTTCTGGTCAAAGGAGACAAGAAAGAAGTTGTTTTCACGTCCAAGTTCGGATTCAGAAACTCAGGTGACCAGAGTCTTTCTAGGTCAGTAATTTTCAACCTTCCCATCTTTTTTTCCATATGCATTCGGATATTCAGTTTAGATCGGTTATTTCGGCAAAAATAGGGATGTTATGATCTATTCAAGAAACGATAAAATTTGGTTCAAATCAGTTTTGCTAATTTTGCGGTAGTTTTTGTTTCTAATGGAAAAAATATAGGTAAAGTATTTTTGAACTTTATGTTTAAGGTTAGACTTTTAAAGTTTTGAATTAACAGTGAACATTTGTTGTACAATGCCAAACACATTAGAAGAAAGTAATCAAAACAGAATCAACTGACAAGTGTATCTTATTTGTTTATCACACAACTCACAATGAACACTCAGAAAAAACATTTATGTATATGCCTTCTTGAAAGACGAAAACATGGGAAACTCACAGTGGTGAACTAAAACAATATCATGTAAACATTTGTCGCAAGGAACCTGATGTACTTGTCCATTACTTGAATATAGTTGAGAGAATCTTACAACAATAGTGTTAACGATTTGTTGCCTATCCTTTGCCGAACGGAGTTTGGAAGAGTGCGGTTGAGCTTTGAGTTTCCACTTAAGTTTCTGCAGTGAAAGACTGAATCCCTTAGAAAAGAACGAAAAGTGAAGATAGAGAGATAGAGAGAGGGTATCAAACTATCAATCACAGAAGCTTACATGAGTCTTAGCGACTTCATATCAGCAAAAAACGGTGGAATGTCTCCTGATAAATCATTGTTTGATAAATCTCTGTAAATTAAAGAGAGAAAGACTGTAGAGTTTAGTTACAAAGAAAATACTGTAGAGTTACTGTATATATTCAATACTAAAAGTGTAGTTAAAGAGTTTTGGATACTTACAGCTCTTTCAACCTTGTTAGCTTAGATATTTCAGGTGTTATGGTACCAGTCAATTCGCTCGCCGTCAAGTTCCTAATAAATTATCCAAATAAAGTTATAATTTGTGAAGAAGACCTTTTAAAAAAAAAGATTCAATGCTGAACAAACAGAACATACAATGAATTGATAAAAGGTGGATCGGAGTCTGGATAACTGCAGTTTACACCTTCCCACAGAAAAACTTGGGGAGCACATACATCTCCTTGCCAGGTCATCTTTTTTCTCAATTCATATGTTGACTTTATGTTCATCATAGCAGAAACTGATCATCATTTCAAAGAACTAGACAAAGTTAAAACGACATAGTATAATCTTGGTTATTGTTTTTTTTTAAACGAGAAGTATTAGGGACAAAGGTCCCACATTGGTAGTTGAAAGAGATCCTAAGTAGTATATAAGATAAATGATTCTATCAACTTATCACCAAATTGTTTTAGGTTAGAAGTCCATCTAGATTAACTATTAGGGATAAATGTCCCACGTTGGAAGTTCATCTAGTTTAATATGGTATCAGAGCCCACAATCCACGCAGTCGAACGCGAACCATTAACTATCCATTATCTATCCACGCAGTCCAAACATTCCGAGATTGGCGGTCAAAAGTATCTCGAGGGAGCGTATGAAGGATAAAGGTCACACATTGGTAGTTGAAAGGGATCCTAAGTAGTATGTAAGATAAATAAGTTGATCCATTTATCACCAATTGGTTTTAGGTTAGAAGTCCATCTAGATTAACAAGAAGAGTTCAACAAGAGAAGTTCAGACAGTCTCTAATCTCCTCCAAAACCTGAGATCAGCCAGCGCTAATACCTGATGACATGGTGTAAAGCATCTCTCCTAACGAGAATCAAACTAGGGACACAATGGAGCCAACTCCAAATGCTAAACCACTATCCCAACATACTGCTGATATTATAGTTTAAAAACGATTTTTGACTTACCTTCATCTTGGTCTGTCTCGAGCTGTAGAAAGTCCAAGACTTTATAAACCTCGAGGCCATTGATAAGAGGAGGAAGAGTTGAGTTACTTGTCATTGTGAAAGTGAACTCGAATGTCCCATCAGGAGCACTCACAGCTCTTGGATTGTATAGAGTTGATATGCCAAGCTTTGGAGGACTAAAGAAGCTGAACCAACGTACACCATCGTTGTAAGTAATGTTGAACTCTCTAGTTTCACTAGCTCCAAGATTCTCTATTTCGGCGAAATGCATGTATATATATGAGTGTGCATCGATCTCATCGAGAGTCCAACGTAAGTTCAGAGTCTTAGAAGGGTTTTCAGGGATCATAGCGGTTGTGGCAACGAGCTGAGGCACATCGTAGAGGTTACTTGTATCAACAGGAAGGTCTGTCTTTATCGACGTTGTATTTTCATTAATTTTTGGCAACCAGATTCGGTCATGGATGTCCTCATCATACCTAGAGAGAGCAACTTACTTTTGTTATTTTCAAATACGAAAAACAGCATAGCCCTAACATAAGAGTCGAACCAGAACTGAAAATTGTAATGGAAACCAAATCAGAGTTTGTTTATACCCACCCTATTGATTTTTGCTTATTTAAATATTTATGGATGTATTCAATATGAAATCTGAAATGATTTGTATTATAATTTATAAATTCAAATAAGAGTTCTAAATTTTGTTTAAAATTCAGTAAAATTAAACATATAAACTTAAATTATATTTTATATTTTTGTTACTGAAACTACTTTAGCTAATTTCTTTAATGAGAGATTTTATTGATTTTAATTTGTTTGATTATTATTTTAGATGATTATATTGATTTTAAGTTTTAAAATTTTAGATTTTTTTTAGAATATATATATATATATATATATATATATATATATATATATATATATATATATATATATATATATATATATATTAGTTAAAAGCATAAAAAATTTGAATCTATGCAAAAACATTTAAACTCTTTAAATTCATTTCCAAATACTATGTAGAATACTCTAAAAAATAAGCGGAAAAACTGTTTTAGTTTGTGTAACACCAAACTAAACCGAGTCTGAATCTGAATAACACTTTGTTTATATACTGGTTTGATATTTGAAATTTAAAATTCTAATTTCAACCCCTCTTAGTGTCAACAAACCAACCGACGAATAAATAACATGGATAGTGTAAATTGAAAAACGTTAAAATGTTTAGTTTTAGTTTTAGTTTTTTTCTTCTAAATAGCCCCAAATGACAAAGAACTAAAACTAGTTTTTATTAATGAATAAAAAAAATTATATTCTTATTTAAACTTTTAATTAATTATTAAAATATAAAATAAATAAATATTAAAAATTTCAAAAATAACAAAATTAAAATTAATTTTGAACTATTTCCAAAAAACTTTTTGAACTTTTCAAAAACATTTCCGAAACCCAATTTTTTTTGTTAAATAGTTTTCTTTACAAAAAGTTTTGGAATACCTTCTTTATTGTGTATGGTGGTTTCTTCATGATTTTTATTAATTTTTTTCTGAAAATATAAACCTGTAGTTATAATTATTGAATATAAACTTGCATGTATATTTAGAAAAGTGTTTATGAATATGCATGATATCTTTCTAAATTTTATTTGTATGCATATTTAGGAAAACATAGTGAACGTACCAATTTCCGAAGATATTTTTCAATATTTATAATATCTTTATAAAATTTAGATATCTTCTTACAAATTTAGGAACATGTTATCCATATTAAAGAGTACTTACTACTAAATATACATATTATTTAAATTCAGTAAGGTATTCACACAATGTAATAAATATTTTAAATACATATTTATGATTTTTTTATTAAATTTTATTAATATTATATACATATTTAAGGAAATATTTCTAAACATTTTTTAAGATATTATGTTCCCAAAAAATAATTTAATTTTGATTTTTGAAAAATATTTTTTTAATATATATTTGTACAAAAGAGATATGATTGTCATTTAATTGACACTTTGATTGATCTTTGTATACTCATTTGAGAACAAAAAAACATGTTTTGAAGTTATTTGAGGTTATTCTCTCATGTAAAAAAAAAATAGAGCTTGACATGCGCGTTCGCGCGGATATTAGATTTTATGTTTTATATTAATATATGTTTTTCTTGATTAATGTTATATATTTTAGATGGGTCACCATATAACTAATTGTATTCAAAGATCCTGATCGAATCGGATATATGGTTATTTTTAGTTTAGTATCCTACCATATTTCAGATACATTGATTATTTGGATATTTTTATGTTCCTATATATCAGAACCTAATCCATCGAGATCCGATTCAAAATCCACTCAGAAATTTATAATACCTGAGTGAGTTCTAATTTTAAAACCCAAAATAATTTGACCCAGAAGAAATGATTCGTACCTGAACGTGTATCTTAATGTACATGCCTAACTCATTACAAATAAAAAGTTTTTTGGTTACATTTTTGAATTTATGTCACAAATAAAGCAATTTCGTTTAAAACTGTCGATTTATTATGGTTAACAAGTGAACTAAATGATGTTAAATAATTAAAGTAAAGATAATTAGTGAGTTACTTAGGAAAAGTGAAAATGAATGTAAAAATATAATAAAACACTTTAAAATTATATTTTATTATTTGTATTTTTGTAATAATGTTATCGTAAATATTTGGAAATACAATAAATGAAGTGGTTTGAATGTGATAGAAAATGAAAATAAAAGTAGTAAACAAAATAATTAAATTTAGGTAATTATTTTTTATACTTCAATTTTAATAGAATAAATTGTAACTCCGATCAACTTCCTCACAATTTTTTTTTTCAAATAAAAATCTTTGTTTTTATTTTAAGATCAATCATTTCTTAAATCATTATATTTGTTAAAGTACTTTATTTATATGTTAAGTCAACTAAAACCGACCTATACACAAATGAAATAAAACCAGAATTACAACAAACAGACTAGCCGAGGTAAAACTAGTGCCAACCGCAAATGGTTTAGGAATTTCTGACTAAGCGATTTCTCACGGTTTAGTTTATATTGTCTTCTATTTTCCTCATTTCTTTTGGTTTATATAAACCAGTAAACCGTAAGTAGGAAACAGCAAACCGTGAGAAAATCGTAAACCGGACTAACCTCCAAAATAAATTATTACAAAAATCTAGAACAATACTTACCTTCACCTTTTATGGTGAATCGTACAATTCACATCACATTCTACCACCAATTCAAAATTATGTAGATTATTAACCAAAAAATAATCCCCTATATATTATTTGAGAATCATTTAAAAAGTTGTAACCTTAAGTTTGTAAGAATTAAAAATAACTCCAATCCTATGTGGCATAGCTCTTTGGCTTCTATTTCAAGTCCCAAGGATTCTAGAGCATGTGATATAATGTATAGTCTAAAAATTATATTTTCTAGCAATATAATATTTCGTAGACTATAGTTGGTCGCATATATCAAATATTTATTGTTTCGCATGCTTTCCTTAAATAAAACCTAAGGAATTACCTAATGTGATTAAAATATATATGACAATTAATGATTTTAAACAATAAAGATTTGATAGCAATCTGTATACTTTTTCTCATTTTGTTTATTTATTTATTATTAAAATAAATTACACAATTACATTAATCATATAATAAAAATCTAGATTTTTTTTTGTGTATGTTGTATTTCGAATTTTTCAAAATGAGTATAAATTACTAAAACTGTTAAAAGTCTCACATAAACTTTTAGGATCAAGGTTTTAATTTTTTTCTATATTAAAATATAATGATTATAAGACCATATGAAGAAATAATTTTAGTTTATATATATATTTCATATCGTTTTAATTAAACTATAAATCGTATGAAAATACCTACTTATATTTTGATATTTGTCTTCAACATATATTGAAAAGTTAATATTTTAATTTTGAAATATGTCATTGTTTTTTTAAAATGATTATAAATTATTGAAACTATTAAACATCTCACATTAAAAAAAATCGTTGGTGTAAAGTTTTGTTACACAAATATGCAAATAATCATAAAATCATCTCATTTAATAAATATGAATATTAAAAGTGTGTAATATTACTATGTTTATATCATTTAAATTTAATTATATATCATATACAATATATAAGATTGATTATTTTGATTTAATTAAGCTAATTGCGAATAAACAAGAGTGATAGTTAAATTTATATTCATACGTCAATTTATTACATAATAGTGACTGATTTCTTAGTTATGTAATATATATATTTATTATTTTATTATTTATGATATGCAGAATATTATAAAATAAGTTATAAATATAAAATATTTATTGTGCATAAAGTGCAGATCTTAACCTAAGTATGTATCTTTTTAATTATTTTAAATCTGAAGTATTTTCTCAATCCCAAGTCAAAAGAAATAAACAAAATGAGAATAAACTTCAAAATCAGTATTTATATCGAGTAATAACCAAAATATTAAAAAACACAACAAGAGAAAAAATTGAAGATAAATAGGATTAACACGTGAACGTGAACTTCTCATAACCATAATTAATTTTTGAATTATTAAATCATGATATAAAACTGAGTTAATTTTTAATTTTTTTATTTTTTATTTTTTTAAATCATTATGGTTATGTTAAATCATGACCCTAATTAATTTTAAATTCTTTATTTGTATTTGAAAAACTTAAAATATTGTTTTTAAAAATAATTTAAAATTTAACTTAATTTTGTTTAGAAAATTATTTAAAAATACTAATTTGTAAAAAATATAGTTTTCTAATATTATTATACAAATAAATAAATTATATTAAATTAGTTTTGAAACTTTATATATTTTAAATGCAATTATTTTACCAACTGCTTCTTAAAAAACATTAGAAAATTTGCAAATACTCTACCAATCAAGCCCAATGACACTCTGTTTATTTTCCATCACTCGAACACTAAAAAGTGAAAAGATATATGAAATCGGGTCTATTAAATTCTAAGATTTGATATATAGTTCTAATTACAATTGCTTCTGATCCTATATATATATATAATTATTTAAAAATTCCAAAATTCTAAAATTTCAAATACATATAAAAACAATTATATGTAAATTTTAAATTTATCAATACTAAAATTTTATATTTTAATTACGTATATTCACCCTGCGCAAGGCGCAGGTCTTATCCTAGTAAAATTAATAAAAAGACAAAATAGCTAAAAACGTTTACACCAACGTTAACGACATTAATACCATCAGCTAAATCCTAAATCATAATTCATAAACCTTAAACATAAATTTAGACTTTAAAAGAATGACGTCGACATTAATTATATACACTAATCCTAAATTCTAAACCATAGACGTAAATTAACATCGACGTCGTTCCTTTAAGGTTTTGAGTTTAACTTTGTGTAGAATTTGGATTTAGGTTTAGAATTTAGAGCTTAGTTAACATCGACATCATTCCTCTTTTTCTGATTATATATTTTTAAATTTTAATACTTCTTATTTATTAATCTACATGACACCTCAATTGATGAAAGTGAACTGAATTAGACGGTTCACCATACTCGTAAACGCAAGTATTGTTTCAAAAATATATATGGAAAATTTCTTGTTACCTGATGAACGATGGTGTGTGTGAAAAGTAATCTCTCTTCACTGTCATCAACGATCCGCTTTGAGTGACGTAAGTATTATTGTTCAATGGACGAATTTCCAAGGACGAAATGAACGGTGTTGTTTCTCCTGTTTTGACAAGACAGACTTGGAGTCGGTCTTGTGTCAAGACATGGATGATTTCGTGGATTAAAGAATTGCCCACTTCTCGGATAGAAACAGAGGTCCATTTGTTAGGACCAATGTGAAGATCAAAGCTAGGGAGTTGATTCAGGCCATCGTAATTCCCATAGTGAAAGCTTCCTCTGATCAGATATTTTTGGTTCCTTGTCAGGTTGAAGTTGTAACAATTTCTTTGACCATCGGGGAAGGTTCTTACGTTCCAAACCTGTCGTTGAAATATCGTCCTTAACGTTTCATCGATCCTCCCGACCACTCCACTGTCGATGTAAGCCCCGTCTGATATATATGTTATGTTTGTAGTCTTCTCCACATAGGTCGTGTCCTTTGGGACTAACCCACAATCCAAGCTGATGAATCCTGTCCATTCAAAATTCAATAACCATACACATTAATGGTATCTTGAAGATGATTTTTTTACAAAAAAAAAAAAAATCTTAAAGATGAATTTTATTAAAATTTTATAAGATATTGTATTATTTGGTTTTTGTTTTCAAAATGAATTTTCATCTCTAACTTTATTTTCGTTTCGTTATTTTAATTTTATTCTATCGAGTTGCAATATAAATATGCATTTATATGATAGGATACATATTGACACAAAAATAGTATCAAATATTTTAATCAAAAGGCGAAATTATAATATATAAATAAATAAATATATTCTACTAAAATTTAAATTATTTAATAAAAATAATATAAAATATTTACATATTTAAAAAATGATAACTATATAAATTAATAAAATATTATAATTCTAAAATTCTTAATTTATAGAGTTTTAATGTATGTTGTGGATCAAGTATACTGAGCCATCAAATACCATGAAGCCGATGTCCTAGTCATTTACAGGTGTGTTAATGGATGACGATTCTCTTGATCTTCAATACACATAGATTTTAATTATGATATCATTCTGTGCTAGACATAGACAAATTTTAGAAAAGTTAACGTTATGTGAGTGTGATTATATGTTGAACTATCTCGACGAAGTTCTGGTCACTTGGTTCGGCACAAAGATTCAACAACAGATACTCAAGCTTAAGTTCAGCCACAATTTAATTATTGGTTTATTATTTCATTCTATAAACATTTTTAAGAATAGATGCAGTACCACATAATTTGATTGAATAAATTTTACATTCCAGAAAGAAAAAAAAATTAGATGTTAGACGATATCATATTTCATATTATAAATACAACTCAGTAGAGTTATTTAAGATTTTATCATAAAAACAAAACAAATTTTGACAGGGTTCATAGGTTGCAGAGGAATCATGTTCCATCAAATAGAAGAAAACGAAACAGAAAAGAAAGCAGTTAAGAACCTGATTGATCTTGGGAGCGTGCTGATTGAAATTTGGCAAGAGCTACGATCAAGAGGAAGAAACACGCATTACGAGCTTTCATACTTTTTGGCTAAAGAGTTATTGGCCAACCTAGGAATGAAGGTTATGTAAACTGTGCTAAATCTTTGGTATTTATATCAGTCCGGTGATCAAAACAGTACCTTGATTTATTTTTAATAGAAATTTAGTATAATGTATTTGAGTATGGCATGACTAGTTCCGGGATCGAATATGCTTCAGAAATTTCCATAAACCTACCACAAAAAAGGTCTCTGAATTTGGTAGAGTAGAACACGGGTCCAGACTCTAGATATAACGAATTTTATGCTTTAGGTTTTAGAATTAAACTTGCTATTCCACCCCCTCCAGTTTGATTGTAATTTGTAAACATAACTTTGGTACCAGATATCCATATGTTGTTGAAGAAACGGACTAATTTCGAAAGTCAAAACATGTCAATTCATATCCCTACTTGCCTACCACTTATTGTTTTGGGGTTTTTGCCAAAACTAACCCACAACTTGGTTTTAACCCCAATACTAGACCCCAATTTGAATCAAATGCAAATCTAACCTAAAAGGGCTATGAAATTACAATATAGTCCTCTGTGACCAAACAAAAAAACAGAAGACATTTTTACGAATATAACCCTAGTAAGTTGTCTGAGTTGGGCTGAGTTACTTTTCAGTCGTCTGGACGACTGAAATGTTAGTCGTCTGGACGACTGAAATGTTAGTTGTCTGGAAGACT